AGTGTTGTTGAATCAAAAATGAATTCTTGCTAATTGTTGCTTCAATAATTGTTGATTCTTGATACAATAATCTCTTATTAGTGTTGTTTTAGTATATGTGATACTAGTACTATCATTGTTTTTTTTCTATTATCATAACAACTATTGCATTTTAACAACTGTCATTATCACTTATTACTAATATTGTTATTAGCACTAGTGATGCTTTGTCATTGCTAGTTCAACTAGTATGATAGTTACTGGCGTTATTTTAGTTATGTTAATTCATATTACAAAAAAAAAATCAGGAAAGGAGGGTGGAGGGGGAAGAAGAGGGCAGAGTAGAAAACAACGGAGAAAGAGAGCGGGAATGAGAGAGAGAGAGAGAGAGAGAGAGAGAGAGAGAGAGAGAGAGAGAGAGAGAGAGCTAGAGAGAGAGAGAGAGAGAGAGAGAGAGAGAGAGAGAGAGAGAGAGAGAGTGAGTCATGCGATACAGATCTCAAGGGCAGGTGGGGCTTAAAAGCGAGCCCCGTGACCTCCGACCTCAGGAAGCTGGCTGCTCGTGTGGGAGGTGATGAACCACCGTGATCTGAACTCTGTCTCTCTCTCCCTCTCTCTCTTTATAGATAGACTTCACAATGAGTTAATAGGTCTTACTTGAGGGAATGGGACGTCAGGGATAGAGAATGGTGGCTTGGGAACCATTTAGCAGAGAACCATTGAGTGAAATGGTTTATACGTCCTGCTGTGAGTATTAAAGCAGACATGCAAACAATAGATATGGGATATACACACCGTATAATGTGTACTAAGTTAAGCTAACAATGGGAATAAGATATATGTGCATCCTGCTATATGTATTAGCAGAAATTTATCAATGAAAATGGCATTTATGAATGACAGTATACATGTAAATGACATTTATGAATGACATTATACATGTGTACCAGTATACAGGGGGGAAACCGTCTTTAGGAAAACTATGGTAGTCTAACTATTCGAAGAAAAGGAAGGTTAAAAAATATAGGACTGAAGC